GGAAAAAGTTCGTGGCGTTTTTCCCGTTAGATGGCATTAAAAAACGCCACGAACTTTTTCCCACACCTAATATATATATATATATATATATGTCTGACTAGGATCAGCAACTTTATATTAATGAAAGGTATGAGAGCGCAATAACAAAATTATGTAGTATACACATTATATATTTATTATTGTTTCACAATAATTTATAATAACCTCTTTTACTGAAAAATTAATTCTTACAATATTTACTTAAAACAATTTCCATTTCTTTAATCAAACTATAATTTTTTTTTTTTAAATTTGCAGACAGGATGTACCCACACAATAAGTGTAACTGATAAAAATTAAAAATATTTACTAAACTAGATCATGTACGAACTTTGAAAAGAGTTATGATATATGCAATACACGTAAATCTGATTGACATTAAATCTCGAAAAACAGTATCATTTAATGATACGTCATTGAATAATCGGCCCATACCTTAGGTTAAATCATACTTCAAAAAAGAAAACTGCGTGATATATTTATATCGTATTTCTATTTATGTAAATTCTTTTTGAAGGATTCTACATATAATTTTTTTATACTAAATAGTTATTCAAATTGAAATTTTAAAAAGACATTATTTAATAATTTGACAAAATTATTAAATTATTAAAACATTTGGTAAAATTATGACTTTCTTCTTGTACTTACAACAATTTGTCATGACATTTATTATAAATAAACTCTGATGTCTTTTATAATTCCTATATTGAGAATGTACATATCATGCTTGTTTTCGATTGAAGATGATGTAATTTATCCGAGTATACTTGGAATTAATATAAGATACTTCTGCAATAATTATTTGTTAATTGTAGTAATAAAAAGTTCATTATGCTACAAATTTATGGCATTTATTACTTTAATGTAGAAAAGATATTTCATGAAACCTAATTCGCTTTAACATGATTCATTGATTTCACATTGATTTCATTCAACAGTTATGTATCGGAGAAATCGAATTATTATTTTTATTTACATATTAATTTTAATAATTAAAAAATAATATTTTCAGTAAGAAAATTTTAGAAATGATTTTACTTGTACTTAAAAATAAATGGATTACGAGTTAGTAATTTTATGCGACAAATGTAACGAATAAATAAAGAACATAAATGGAAAAATTACAATATAATCACACAAGTAATTATTAATAATAAAAAAATAACTATAGATATTATTCATTTGTTCCATTGCGAGACTATTACCAAAAAATTTGAAAATGATTTTTTAACATGTACTACGAGAATCATCTTACAGATGATCACCTTGACAAAGGTAAAATGATGTAATTGATCACCGACTAACATTTAAATATATACAGAAAAGTTACAAGATATAAAAATATTTATTATAAAATAACAGAGAGAAACATTCAAACATAACAATTTATCAAATAAAGTTTCATAACATAATAATTAAATATTAGTTTATCACGGCTAATTACGATGTGACTCCGATATCGTTTATAGTTACAGTACAGGACGAGTTCTCGATTAATCTTAAATCTTTCCAAACATTAATTTTTCGGGTTTCACCATGTAACCTTGTTATCAACAATCTCGTGGCTGGTATATTTGCCCAATATTTTCCCAATGCCGGTGTTATGTTAGCAGCATTCGTTTGTTCTGAAGAATTCCATTGGGAGAGTAAGTTCACAGTAATTACAACTGCTTGGTACTCCATCGTGAGGAATCGACATACTTCGGCCAAATCTTCAAGCTCGTAAGTTGTCTGGTTATCACTTTGTTGCGCGTTTCGCGGTACCTTGAAGAAAAAATGATCGGTTATTAAAAAAATACGAGTACATTCACATATAAATTAATTTCAATAAAATTAATATTAATATTATATTAATATTAACATTATTCAAATTCTCAACTTATTATTTATCTTAATATTATAAATAATATGAATTAATTTAATACTTTAATTATCAAATAGATAAGAAACGTTATTATTCCCTAATTTTACGCGCGCGCGCGCGCGTGTGTGTGTGTGTGTGTGTGTGCGTGTGTGTTAATCGTATTATTTTTAACATTGATATAACAATAATATAAGGTTTAATTAATAATATATTTGGAATATTATACAAGTTACTAAAAAAATTTATTTATTAAGGTACCTTGAAGATAATTGCCGGTAAAGAATCGATGATCACAAGAAGGATCTTTCTTTCTTCAAAAGATGCTTCATTTTGCTCCTGTTTACAAAGAGTTACCGATTGTCGCAAAGCTTGTACCAATTCATAGGAGGAACGAGCTTGATAAATTTTTGTACTGCGCAATGCATCTTTTATAATCTGTAAGAAAGAAAATTGACTTTCAGAATTCACAATAAAATAGCATTTTAAAGATAATAATTAATTATATAAAAAATTTATTTTTCAAATCTGTTATTTATTTCTTTCTTTTTAAGGATTACTTTTTCAATTATATTTATATAATTATGATAGATATACGCGCCAATTTTTATTGCTATTTGCAGTTAATGTTATTACTTTTTGCTCGAAATTTCTCGCTCTCATAATTCCCTCGTATCGCAACCTGCAGAAATCTTTCTTTGTGTCAAAATACCATACAATGCCGCCCGACCGGCTAGCGACGTTAGCTGCTATTGTGAAACATAATTGAGTCTTCCCGGAGGCTCTTGGTCCACATAATTCGCATAACTGTCCGGGATACAGGCCACCTCTCAGCAATTCGTCCAAACTATTCCAGAATGATACATTAATTAAAAATCAAATACATTTTCTTTCAAATAACATTCTCTTTTCTTCCTCTATGTAAAACTATTGTACGATTTATTTTTTAAGTTTCTTTTTTAAGTTTCATATCGAATATTTTTATTAATCACAATTCAATTAAGGGATATCTTGTAAACGTACCACGTTACGCTAGTCGGAATTACATTACGTTCTATCGCAAGGAGTTGCGTTGCATTCTTTTTTACGCCACCGAATTTCTTCAATATATAGTGCTTCATTTGCAACACATCCTGCAAATAATATTTGATTGAATTTATCAAT